TAATAATATACTGATAGCAACATTTAAACTTAATAATAACATTATAACAACTCTCAAACTAGTACACAACAATGGACTGTTAATAATATACTGATAGCAACATTTAAACTTAATAATAACATTATAACAACTCTCAAACTAGTACACAACGACGGACTGTTAATAATATACTGATAGCAACATTTAAACTTAATAATAACATTATAACAACTCTCAAACTAGTACACAACGATGGACTGTTAATAATATACTGATAGAACATTTAAACTTAATAATAACATTATATCAACTCTCAAACTAGTACACAACGACGGACTGTTAATAATATACTGATAGCAACATTTAAACTTAATAATAACATTATAACAACTCTCAAACTAGTACACAACAATGGACTGTTAACAATATACTGATAGCAACATTTAAACTTAATAATAACATTATAACAACTCTCAAACTAGTACACAACAATGGAAAGTATGTCAAGAAACTCTGCAAGGAATATAAAGAGAAATTTAAATATGCTTGCTGGTAGTATTAACTATAAATATAGTTAATTTGTGAATCATTAAAACGTATACCAAATAATGTGTATCTAAGAAATACACGAAAACTGCCAGAGAACTATTTCGTCAACCATAGCCCTAAGCTACACATTTGTAAAAGTTGTGTATTATCCATCGAACTCCGAGTATCTATTCATATTTTCCTGACTTACAGGTCTGTAAATGTTATTAACAGCGAGGGTACATAACTGATGAAACAATATATTATAATCTTTATAAGTAATATATAGCTTGTTCAATATAAGTAATATATAGTTTGTTCATTATAAGTAATATATAGCTTGTTCAATATAAGTAATATATAGTTTGTTCATTATAAGTAATATAGTTTGTTCATTATAAGTAATATATAGTTTGTTCAATATAAGTAATATAGTTTGTTCATTATAGGTAACATATAGTTTGTTCATTATAGGTAATATATAGTTTGTTCATTATAAGTAATATATATTTTTGTTCATTATAAGTAATATATAGTTTGTTCATTATAAGTAATATAGTTTGTTCATTATAGGTAACATATAGTTTGTTCATTATAAGTAATATATAGTTTGTTCATTATAAGTAATATAGTTTGTTTTTACAAGTAATATATAGTTTGTTCATTATAAGTAATATAGTTTGTTTTTTACAAGTAATATATAGTTTGTTCATTATAAGTAATATAGTTTGTTCATTATAAGTAATATATAGTTTGTTCATTATAAGTAATATATAGTTTGTTGATTATACGTAATATACTTTGTTTTTTACAAGTAATATATAGTTTGTTCATTATAAGTAATATAGTTTGTTTTTTACAAGTAATATATAGTTTGTTCATGATAAGTTTATTAGTTTGAACGAAATAATGTAATCAGTTAGGCTCATTACTAGGTATATATGTTTAGTTCTGATCTATTTAGGTAGCTCGCCTTAATCAGAAAGTAATATTAAGTAATTAGAAAATGGATATTAATGAAAACACTAAAATATTAAACAACGAAAAAACTACATATATGGTTCTGATATGACCAGATCTTTCTTTAGTGAAGTAAAAAAGGTACATGTTTTCTGTTAGCATCAGTAAGAATAGATAACCCGTAAGATACGACACCTACTTTCTGTTACGAGGGCTCAAAATAGCAAAGCACCCCTATTTTGTATTAAAAGTAGTAAGAATAGCGAATCCAAAATGTGCACCTATTTTCTGTTAGCAGCGTCAAGAATAGCGAATCCAAAATGTGCACCTATTTTCTGTTAGCAGCGTCAAGAACAGCGAATCCAAAATGTGCACCTATTTTCTATTAGCAGCGTCAAGAACAGCTAATCCAAAATGTGCACTTATTTTCTATTAGCAGCGTCAAGAACAGCGAATCCAAAATGTGCACCTATTTTCTGTTAGCAGCGTCAAGAACAGCTAATCCAAAATGTGCACCTATTTTCTGTTATCAGTGGTTAACTTTCTTATTAACAGTTAGTACGTCTCTTCACGGACGTACATCGAACCTAAGATATTTGAATACTATTAATATAGTACAAGTTTTATTCCACTTAGGATGATTCTCGAATGTATTCTCGATACCAAACTTACAACTTATACGGACTAAAGTTACAAAGTTTTATTCCACTTAGAATGATTCTCGAATGTATTCTCGATACCAAACTTACAACTTATACAGACTAAAGCTAGAAAGTTTTATTCCACTTAGGACGATTCTCGAATGTATTCTCGATACCAAACTTACAACTTATACGGACTAAAGTTACAAAGTTTTATTCCACTTAGGATGATTCTCGAATGTATTCTCGATACCAAACTTACAACTTATACGGACTAAAGTTACAAAGTTTTATTCCACTTAGAATGATTCTCGAATGTATTATCGATACCAAACTTACAACTTATAGGACAATTAGGAGTAATTCTGATAATTAGAAAGACAGCTGAATTTTATTTATAGAATATTTATCTAATTATCATTAACTAAAAACTAAAACAACTTTGCATTTGATCCTTCGTACAATATTTTCAGTCGCCACAAGTTGCTAAAAATGCCCGAAGAAAGGTAATTTATTCCGTTTCTCCCGAGATCCCTGAAAAAGAGAAAAAAGGAGAAAATTAGCTAGTTTCCAGTATAACATATTTCAAGCCTGATAATCACCGCAACTGTAATCAATGGCTTACGATCGACCACAACAATGTGATTAAAGTCTGGGTAAAGCTGTTGCTTTGATAAATTTTATCAGCCTAAGTTAAAGTTGTAAGTGAAATTCGAGACATAAATAAAGTTAAGTATTAAAATAAAATTAAACTTTAAACGAACTAACAGAATAAATTTTGATGGTAATAAGGCTGTTCAGAGTCATAAGTAGAAACAGAAACCTATGTATACGAGGTCGATAAGATGGTTTTTCTAAAAGTAGCATAGCCAAACTAGAAGAATGAAAATATAACTGATACAGGAAACTACTTTAAAGATCACAATTTTGATGGTAATAAGGCTTTTCAGAATCATAAGTAGAAACAGAAACCTATGTATACGAGGTCGATAAGATGGTTTTTCTAAAAGTAGCATAGCCAAACTAGAAGAATGAAAATATAACTGATACAGGAAACTACTTTAAAGATCACAATTTTGATGGTAACATATTTCTGCTGTTGTTCTTGCTATTTGATTATGGCAAAACTACACAGTGGGCTAGTGAATCGAACCCTGAATCTTAGCGTTATAAATCAGTAAACTTATCGCTGAACCACCAGGGGACGATAAATTCCTGTCTACAATAAATTCATTACTTTTAAAAGAAAAATGCAAACAAGTTCGTAGTTTGTTCAAACATGGGTTGTGGAGAAAAAAAAAGTCTTGTGATTGAATTAAGTTTAAGAATGTTTTGATCGAAACCCGGATTCTAGAGTTGTAAGTCCGCAGACATACCGCTGTGCCACTGGGACGCAGTTCCAGTAATACTTTACAACAATAATTACTGATGGAGTTTTGTTGAATGAAAAATGCAGAATAACTTTATACAGGCTTGTTTGTACATTATTAAGGCCAAAAGTTTGTTCCGTGTTAAGCGCAAAGCTGCACAAGAGACTATCTGCGCTGTGCCCACCGCAGTGATCGAATCGTGAAATATACGACTTTATGCTTTCTGCTGAGCCAGTAGGTACTAAAGCCAAGCTGGTGATGCAGTTATAAAACACTTATTTTTGGCACTGAGATTGAGTACGATTTGATACTTTAGCCCTTACAGTAGAAGTCGATTTCAACATGAGAAGAAACAAAAGCTAATTCTGAGCAGATTTTCCCATACTTCTAAAATAAAGAGAGTTTTTTCAATAAACTTTTTAATTTGGTCCTTATAATGCTTACAGCAAAATAAAAATAAAACCATTAATTGAGAGGAAAATGTATGTACTACTGATATTGTCTTTAATAATGGATTTTGCCTTTCTGTCTCATCGTTAATTAGTTAATAATACTTAAACAAAATAAACTCGCGCAGCTGGGAAGGTTCAACCTATGGAGTTGATATAACAAAGAAATAATAACTCTGTGAAGGAATGACGCGACTTAGGTTATTTGTTTTATCCTGCTTTGACAAAAGTTTTCCAATAATCTCCTTCATCTCACAGAAAACTTCAAGAATTTGTATTTATTACTATCATATTGTTGTTCATTCCTCCCACGTGCTAGGCATTAGTCGCGCACGCGCTTTTTCCTTTGATTTTGATCCGCCATTTTTTCTTGCTCAATGGATTTCGAGTCTCATATATTTCTAGTGTTCGATACAACATAATTAGTTTGCTTGTTTGTTAAACCCAATTTCTAGTGTTTCAAGACTCCAGATTTACTGTCGAGCCAGCGAAGGGCAATGTAATTGTAGAGTACATTTTTAACTTACATCATTCTTGACTTTTCCATGCCCATCAAAGCTCTTTTCTGAAGATTTCCGCTGAGATTATTGCCACGAAACAAGCTAAAAAACAAAGTAAAATAAGTGAATATACGAAGTGATTTAATCTCGTGTAACAACATTTTATATATATATATATAATGACGAACGTTGAAACAGATATATTGATAGGGCAAGTTGAAAATAAAATATATTGTAGAAATATTATTTCAATAAGATTATAAGTTTTAGGTTCTACATTTATTTAATAAAATCAGACAAAAAAAAATCAACTTAAATTTTAAATAAATTATTTTGTTAGTTTTATTCAACGTAACTGTTTTTTGTGTGCGTACAGAAAGTTTTGTCTTTGTTTAAGAAAAATTAGATTAAATATAATGATATTACAAAAACAACAGCGAACTAACTTCGTAATCTGAGGAACGTATTGTCTTCAAAATGTTTTACAGTTACATTTTATTGCCGAGTTAGGCCACCAGGTGAACATAAAGCCAAGTCCGAATGTTTTGGTGAGTTAGGCCACCAGTTGAACATAAAGCTAAGTCCGAATGTTTTGGTGAGTTAGGCCACCAGGTGGACATAAAGCCAAGTCCGAATGTTTTGGTTTGCTTGTTGTTAAGCGTAAAGTTACATAATGAGTACCGAAACCCGGTTTTTAGTGTTATAATCCATCAGACTTACCGCTGAATCATTGGGGGGGGGGAGAGAAAAGCCAACACCAACTCTCAAGTTACTGTAATCGAACAAAATTATTTTACCCTTACTCTTATAGATTACCCAAGACTTCAAAGTGTAAAGTGAGTTTCTACGGCAACGGGCCGCGAACCATGAACCCTCGGTTTCACAACTATGCCCGGCCTAAGCCGAAAGCACCTGAAATGTGTATTACACTACATATAAAATAAATATGAATCATACGTTTAAACACAAGATATATATATCTACGAATTTAATTGAATTAGCTAGAATATATTTGGGAATAATGATATATATAACTTTTTAACCCTAGTTAATTTCTTAATTTTTCTCTAACTTATACTTTCTCGTCTTAAACCTAATGAAACAAACCAAGCTAGTTTAACATTATCAAGTCTTTATGTAAACTAAAGTAGGGTTTCAAGATAAGTTCTCAAACTAAGCTCAGAAGAAAACGCTACTCACAATCGTGAAATTTGGTGCTCAATTTTCTTTGGAAATGAGGTTAATCCTACATTCGTACAATTGATGGTTATGTCAACACAAGGACAGCGTTCTTCTAGTGAACATTGGAAAGCTGATGGGAAGAGAATAACATAAAAAGGACAACTATTTTTTTCAAAGAATTTAAACACATATTTATAAATACAACAGAGATCCTGGAAGAGAGAGAATGTCTTGAATTATTCAAGGTAAGAGTATGTATATATATATGTATATGTCAGATATATTAAATCACAAGAGTTACCAAGTGCGGACATATTTAAAGTTTCAGTTTTTAAATTATCTTCAGACTATTTACTACGTACATCGATATATTTTACTGTTCCTTGAGCATCTCGAGCACAGTTAATGTGCATGAGATAATATTTTGCTGTTTCTTAATTATATCTAGTCTATTTAATGTGTTTGATGGTATATTCTGGTGTTTCTTAATCATATCTAGTCTAGTTAATGTGTATGATGATATATTCTGGTGTTTCTTAATTATATCTAGTCTAGTTAATGTGTTTGATGGTATATTCTGGTGTTTCGTAATTATATCTAGTCCAGTTAATGTGTATGATGGTATATTCTGGTGTTTCTTAATTATATCTAGTCTAGTTAATGTGCATGAGGTAATATTTTGCTGTTTCTTAATTATATCTAGTCTAGTTAATGTGTATGATGGTATATTCTGGTGTTTCTTAATCATATCTAGTCTAGTTAATGTGTATGATGGTATATTCTGGTGTTTCTTAATATATCTAGTCTAGTTAATGTGTACGAGAGTATATTCCGGTGTTTCTTAAATTGTTTGTTTGTATTTAAGCACAAAGCTACACAATGGGCTGTCTGTGCTCTGCCCACCACGGGTATCGACACCCGGATTCTAGCGTTGTAAGTCCGCAGACGTACCACTGGGGACGCTACCAAATGAAACGATAACATGTGTATTTCTCAGCGCCAAGGATTAACAAGGCAAACAGAGTTTTGTTTCTCATCACTTAAACTTAACAAAGTATTGAGTATTTCTCAGCGCCAAGGATTAACAAGGCAAACAGAGTTTTGTTTCTCATCACTTAAACTTAACAAAGTATTGAGTATTTCTCAGCGCCAAGGATTAACAAGGCAAACAGAGTTTT